TCTTTTATTAATTGACTTTAATTATATTGCTTCTCTTGTGAATTTCAGGAGCAGGTTGTCATACAAACTTTTCAACGTTAAAAATGAGAGAACCGAATGGAATTGAGTAAGCAAAATGAATGTTATGTAATTGAAAACTTACTATCAATATGATTTTTGTTTTCTAGAGAAATTAATGAGGCGATTAAGAAACTGCAGCCGCGTCATCAAACGCATATCAAATGTTATGATGCAAAAGGTGGCGTGGATAATCTCCGACGATTGACAGGTCGTCATGAAACGGCGAGTATTCATGATTTCAGTGCTGGTATTGCTAATCGTGGTTCATCAATTCGAATCCCAAGACAAGTGGGTGAAGACGGTTGTGGTTATTTTGAAGATAGACGACCAGCATCAAATTGTGATCCGTATGCTGTCACCGATATTATTGTGCGAACAATTTGTTTGAATGAACTTGATGAGACTACGGCATGAACATGTTGGATATTATTTGCTCGGTAATCTATCTTTTCTGTTTTAAATTATTTTGTCTATAAGCATAACCTCTTTTCACGTTTTCTTTTATATTTTACGATATATATTTTATTTAATGTTACAATTACTTGTGTCAAATGTCAAAATATATCTGCTTTTTATTTTAATGATAATTAAGAACGCAATTTTTTCATCCATTTTTCAAAACTTTGACTCGTACTTCAACTTATAGAAAACATGCGTTTTTGATTAAAATTTCTTGAATAGAATAAAAAGGAAATAATAAAACTTGAAGAATAAAGTAAGGTATACGCGTACACGAAAATCAATAGGAACAACCGGTCGAAAATATGTGTTACACCGGTTCATTTTCAAGCAGAAAAACCGGTCAAAATCGACGATTTGCGACACAACAACCGGTCTCTCGTATAAAAACCGAGGGTGTGTTTTTCATATTGTTTTTTGCATCGTTAGGGTATAGCAGCGGTTGACGGTGGTTATATTTTGGTGAATGCTAAATTGGCTAGAATCGCCCTTCAGAAAGGTGGCTCTATAGATCTTAGACAATCTTTAGAAAATAATTTAATTGCAGTACCGTCAAAAAAACCAGAATTCGAATATTTTACTTTTCGAAAAACTTCCGTAAAACCACGAAAATATATGTCTGAGGCAAAAAGCGATACAGATTCTGAAATTAAACACTATGGGTTATCCAATCAACCTTGCATAAATTCCAAAATCGACATTTTTGAGGAAAGTCAAGACAAATCTTGAGGTATGTGCTTGCTCATGTGCTTGAGGAACCAAGCTTCACTAGGGAATGATGTACTATTTTTAAACGTTTCCGACCATTTTCCTTGAATTTTCAAGTAAAAAAATGACTGAGATTTTGACGAGAACATGAAAACCAACGAAAATTTGCGCAATTTATATCCTTCGACTCAGTTTTCGACGCTGGGTGCGAATATGATATTTTTATTGCATAAAAGATAAGCTTTTATGGAAAAAATTGCAAAGTACGGGCAGAATTCCGACTTTTTCACCCATGATGTAGAAAAAATGAATTTTGTCAGTTATAAAGCAAAATAAAAGAGAAAGCAAAGCGTACTTTTGAAGCTCGTTTAATGGCGGTTCTAATGAAATAAAAAAGTCGGCTTTATCTCTTCACAAAAAAACCTAGATAGCCTTGCAAAATTGTTTAGGAAATCCAAGTACACGGGGAGTCCAGGACATCCATACTGGATAGACCTTTGACTTCAATCTTCATCAACCATCATTCTCATATTCTATTTTTTATGCAGAATCTGAAAAGCATAATTTCGAAAAGTTAAAAGAACGAAACAAAAAAATTCGAAATTTTTTGAAACTAGAGAGTTTTTCGAAACACTCGGCTAAAGGTAGATAAATCTATAGCCTTTATTTGGACAAAATATTTTCTGTTAAGAATATGTTTAAATTATTACTACTCAGACAATATTTTTGGCAAAATATGACTCTGGTGGGAAGTCTTGTTCGTGTGTTATATCAGAAATACTATGCACAACGCTTCTTCCCATATATGATTCTGGAGTCCTTCGTCAAATGTTTTTCAACAATAATCCACAAAGAGTGCCATTGATTAATGTTGTCCTGCAGAAAAAGTGTGCTGAGTTTAATGGCGAAAGCCGATTGTGAAAATATCCTTTAATTCCGAAGTTATAATCATTTTGCTGAATTACTAACCATTTCAGTCTTATCCGACGAGGTCCTTTATCTTGTTTGTTATTGACCTATGAGACGTAGATGAATGATAGACATTTTTCTGCAAAACGGTCCAGTCTGCACGAGAATCACTTTCGACATTCGTTACTCTTAGTGCAATAGAATAACGATCTGTAATACTTTTATTCTGTTTTCGCCATCATGCTCAGGTTATCCGCTTATGCAACGAAACCATATTCTGACAATATCAGTGAATATGTTGGCTTCTAAGTGCTATATCCAACACTCCCACTACGCGCAAATAGTTCAAGGCAATTGTTGACCTAATCGAAGGATCTGGTCGAAGGTGGAACAGATTGTTGCTTTTTTACATATTACTAAGTCATTATCATTTTCAGAATTATTATTATTACTATTATTATTTTGGGTGTTCGTTAGACGTTACTATACTCGAGTATAGTAACGTAGTTTATACTAATCATCACCTACTGCTTGATAATATTAAAACAACGTACTTGAAACATAGAATTATTTCTGATTTTGTCCGCTGCTGAGTTCACTATATCCATCTGAAAACGGAGAGGGTCCGGCAAATCGATAGTATATTTATATTTTGTATTGATACACAAAAGTATGAACATTTAAAAATAGTGTTTTCTAAAATTCGGGGTGTCAACAATCGATGCTTTTAAAATCCATTCAATTTCAAATGCGACGTGTAAAGTTAGATACAAAAAGACGTTTGAATATATTCATACACCATTCTGATCCTGGAAGAATACAGGAAATAATGGATATTTGGGAAATACGCTAAATAACATCTAAAAAGGACACGAGTTACACGCTATTCGATTCTTAACGTTGGATTACGAGTTCTGAAGAAGCAGAAAAGTCAGCGTTCTACAGTTCATGAATGAACGTTCCACCTACGCTCTTGCTTCTTATAAAATGTTCATCGTAGCGCACTTGCGTTCTAATTTCGAAAGACTCGATAAACTTCATAAACTGATTCGATTCACTTTCGAATCAGTCACGTACAACTTGAGATAGTTATGATGGTGTGTATTATATTTGTTATATACCAGAAGAGAGAGAGAGAGATTTGATAATATTCTAAGTAGAACATCGCGTCACCTGAGAGGATTGAAGACTTGTTCTTCGAAAAATGAATCCTGAGGAAGTTTTTCTCTAGAAAGTGACCTAACGTGACTAGAGATGACCCAAGTCAATTTTTGATGCGACTCGGATTCGGGCCTCGATTCGAATCAAAAAATTACACACCACACTTCGTTCCGTCTAACTATACATATTAATCGATCGTCGTCGTAGTTCGTATTTCAGCTTCCTTCCTTTTTTTCTTTGTTTTCTTCGAACCGATGAAAGTAATCAGTTGATTCTTCCAATGAAAATTCGGTTTTTCCGTGGAATCAGCGAAATTCATAGCTATAGTGGCTGCAAACGACGATCGAAAGCAGGCGAGAGCATTGCTTTGAATTCAGAAATATTTTTATACCTCTAGGGCTTCTGCCTTTCATATTTACATTAGATTACGAACCTTACACATGAAAACAGAAAAAAATCAAAAAGATGGCTCAGTTAGGCTCCCAGCGAGCGCCGACCGAATTGCGATCAAGAAGATAAAAAGCTCCCAATGCAGTTTGTGCACGTGTCTGTCGTATAATTATTTATTCTATCGACAAAACGTAAAGAAAACAAATTTGCAAACCCCTTTTATGGCCTACGCAATATCTGAGCAGCTCTCTGGATATCATATATTGAAAATAGATTCTTGAGAGAGAACAATAATACGGCTTGCCCACGTAACCCGACACTTCGCTCATTAAGTTTTAAAAATTTTATTTTCTTCGAAGTCACGATCTGAGTACAGTTTTTCACGCTGATTAATTTGATATTCTTGAGAGATGAAAATTTTATTTTTAGCAAAAAGTTTTAAATTTAAATTTTTTAAAAAGTTTAATTTCGATTTCCTGACGTGCAAAGTTTGTTTAAAAAATCAAAAAAATTACATCATTCGATACAGAATTAAATTCTCTACAAAATGGTGCATTTTGTTTTGAAAGTTAATTTTCGGATCCAACCCTATGCTTTTCAGAGCTCTCCAGAGTTTTCTTTTCTTTGTTATACGCTATTTTATTTTATTCTCTCGGCAATTGTTAGCAAATGTCTACAAAAACAATAAAATCTGCTTAAGAGTATATGAATGAGGGTTAGATGTAAAAAGACAAAGGCATATCCGAGTTATTTTATTTTTTATGCCAACAAAAACCAAGTATCTGAGATACAAAAAAAAGAAGAGGTTTTTATTGTCTGAAAACAGAACTATATTCACTATAACTAGGATTATCGCCTTCGGTGATAGGAAAAAAATCATAGAATTCTTTTCCATATGCTATTTCACATTGTTTCACTCTTTGTCGAAATCGATTCATAACAATGTGAGTATTATTCTAGCAAAATTCTCTTGGTAAATCAATTAACAACATTATATCATTTCCTTGTACTATAGAGACACAATCTAATATTGATAAACCGAGTAATGCAAATGTCATGGATTCAGATTTCATATCAGCAGGAATATTTCCTAAGTGATCCATATCATTTTTTAATTGTAAGTTTCCATCTTCATCTAATTTTTT